AATAGTTATGTCAAGTTTTTTATTAAATTATTAAAAAAATTCATAGACACAACTTGTCAATATTATTTAACCAAACATGTTTGAAATAATTTTGCTGCCGAAAATACACACACACACACACACACACATATATATATATATATATATATATATATATATATATATGTGTGTGTGTGTGTGTGTAAAATATAGAAAATAGGAAAGAACCGTTAGGTTAATAATCCAAAGTTCTTTAGTATTTTGTTTTTTATTTTAAAAAAAAAAAAAACAGTGATCGATACACAAGTAGAGCCTATATTATAATTGTTTTTTTTTTAAATATGATTCCATCGCTACACAGGAATTGCCATGTTTCAAAAACAGAAGCTAAAATCTTCCAATTCAATTTTACAAATTAAATTAAAAGTACTTAGTTCTGTTTCATGCTCAAACCAATTTTGGAATAACTGATTTTGAAATTTACGGAGCTTTATAAGCATATGCATTCGTAATATTAGTTTCTATGGATATGGAGAAAAACAATCATTTTAATAAGGGGCGATAGGGTATTCATATTCCTTGGTAATTTCTCCACTTTTTTGTTCTGGAGTAAATGGAACACTATAAACGGGTGAGTCGTCCTTGTATCCTCAGTCAATGGTCAAGACAGGAGACTCCTCCACCCACATTGTGTTTAGATAAGATCTGATGAAGTCTTAAGCTCAAGTTTGAAACGTTACAAGCTCGCGCACGCCATGTGTCCTGCAAAACTAAAGTTGATGGATTCCCGAGACTGATCGCAATCTTGCAGTAATGATGATGCCCAGAATAATTCATAAATTTGATAAAATTTAGTTTATTTCAACTGTTGATTAAATAGATTTTTCAAACAAGCCTTCTTTTCCCGAGTTCCAATGCTTGACAGCGGTATGCAGTAACTTGAATGTTGAATCACTCGTTCACAACTGATGATGAGTAAACAACAATGACACGTCTCTGCTCAGGTTGGACTGATAATCTGGTAGTCTGTTTACGTTTACTGTCACAATCTACTCTTTCAGAGGTACTCTCTCGTGTCGTTTCTCACTGGAGGCCTCGGCAGAACTCCTTAGAGTACACATATATAGAGAGAATATATTAGTACGATTTGACTATTAATTGATGTTCTCTAAGGCCTCTGTTGTTTTGAAGAGGACCTGATCGGCTAGCCACTTGATTGAGTTCTGGTAAACTAGTTACCTAAAACTATTATTACTGTAAGACCAGCGAGTAAATAATCATTATGCAAAGAAACCATAGAGGCCATTGGTCGACTTTGGTTGAATTTTAGGAAACACTTTCGTATTGAAATTATCGTGTCTAGGAAATTTTACTAATACAATGGCTATGTCTTTATGTAAACACCTTAATCTCAAGGGTTTTTAGATATAATTTTTTATTTCGGTTGAGGAAGTGCTTTATTGTCATAATTTTTCCCAGTTTGACAACTGCAGCTGGTCAACTCAGGGTCAACTCAATTATAATATATAGGTTAAGTTTCTTAAGAAATCCTCAATGTACAAAATTCTTCTAAATCAAGTAATTTTCTTAATTAGTTCTTTTTTTACATTCAATTCCAATAATAATTAACACTATAAATTCTTCTCTCGCTTCGATAGCATAAAACCTGGTCTTTCTACATTTAACTGTTCAGCAACCGCACGGAGGAGTCACTACCCACCTAGTCACAGAAGTGAGGTAAATGGAACAAGTTTGTAATTTTAATGTCTGTTGCATTTGAATAAAGTATATGTAGGCAAAGTTTCCACTTTATATATATATATATATATATATATATATATATATATATATATATATATATATATATATGAAATATATTAAATCCGACAGATTTTAATTTATTTGTTTCAACGTTATTTTTTACATGGATATTCATATTTGAGTAGATGCTCTGTTTTTATTTATTTATTAAACGGTATATTTATTTGTTTACATCTACCGGCCTGAACATTCGAGAAATCTTGTTAGAAAAATAGGCGCGCGCTCCGGCAGGATTCGAGTCTGCGACCCCTAGGGTGAATTGTCATTAGATCTGACGTACCTTAGACCAACTCGGCCACGTAGGACCTTTTGATTAAAAAAAAACCCCGAAATCCTGCCTGAGGGCGCATATTTTTCTAACAAGATTTCTCGAATGTTCAGGCCGGTAGATGTAAACAAATAAATATACTGTTTAATAAATAAATAAAAACAGAGCATCTTCTCAAATATGAGTATCCTTGTAAAAAATAATGTCTAAACACACACACACATATATATATATATATATATATATATATATATATATATATATATATATATATTACTACCTACTGATACTAGTATTGCTGCCTCATTCTCCCTCTTAGCTATTTCTGCACGGATGTCCGTTGTGGTGTAATGGATATGAGCTCGAATTGAGAAATTGAAGAACCAACAAATTCCAGTCGGGTTCGTTACATTTCCTTGGGAAAGGTATGAATCCTCCTCTTCTCCCTTCAGCTATGGGTTAAATAGCTGGACAGACTGGGTTCTATAAGCAACCAGTCTATCGCACAAAGAAATAGCAACCTACTTCGCCTAGTCAGACATGGATCGAAATAGCCATGATCAGCCAAGTGTGTATCACGTCTGGTACTTAACTGATTGAATGACTTCTGCACAACCTAAATATTTCGGGTGTCAGAAAATAATCTTTGAAGACTGAATTTTGCAATTCTTAATCTAACATGAGTAAATTTTGGTATTCACTCTGTATCTGGTGAACTGAAAATTAAAAAGAAAATCATCAGTAGCTTGGAATTAATGTAAGTGTTACTGACATAATAATTATAATGTACAAGATATCCCCGTGAAAATTTCACGATTTTCCTATCTAGATTTTCTGATGAATGTTAATTCTTAACTTAATGATTGAATAAGATTATGGCAAGTTTTACGACAATAAAATATCCGTAGAAATTCTCCCGATCGCATTGTTAAATATTTGAGCTTAACAACTTTAACAAAATATTGAAATAACAATCATAAATATTAATGCTATGGGGCACCTCTACGTGGTGTAATTGTTAGTAAGTTTGTCTCGCTAGAACAATTACCATTGAGTAGTGAGTTTGAGCTTCACTGGATGCCCCATTCTTTAGGTTTTGTGCCACATCTAAGTTACCCTTAGAAATATGAATTCTGGTCGTTATTTAAAGAAGTAAGGGGGTACAAATGAAAAGATTTGGAATTGACAACTTTCTTCCACTCCACTGTAACAAACAGAAAATACTTCTCTCTTCTTTCTTTCTTTCTTTCTTTCTTTCTTTCTTTGAAACCGAGTACCTTCCCTGATATCTCTTTTCCGTTTTTCCACACATTTAAAATGAAATAATCCATTATTTATGAGGTATTAGCAGGGCGTAACGGTTGCACTAACTAAAGGAGGGGACAAGCAGAATTATAATAAGATAATTATAATAAGATAAATTAATTGTTAATGATTTTCCAATGTTCAATGCAAGTAGGTTTATAGAAATAAATTCGTCATAAATGATTTTGCCATAGAACTGGATTGAATATGTACTGTATAAAGGATGTGCAAGTTGCATAACGGATATCGGCGTGCAAAGTGGAATCAGCGAACCGGGTTCAAATTCATGGTTAGTCTGTTGCATTCACTTTCGCACAAAGGCTCGTTGGAAAGGCATGAACCTTTCTCTTCTTCGCTCAACTAAATAATAGGGTATTCTGGGCTCTCTAGTCTTGGGTAGAAACCAGATTAAGAGAAGGAATCTTTGAATTACAAACTATCGCGAACTCAACAGCAAATCACTCCATTATCTTTCCCAAAAAGATAATAAAGATAAGGGCTCTGTGGAGAGCCATGATCCCCTATGTCTCAGTGTCAAGCAATATTTTTAGATCCGGTCCGCCAATGTACAGCATTCTTTCTTTTAGTGTAGAACAATAAGGATGAACAGATTATGAAACAATTATTATTACTAAAATCCTTAATTGGTTTAAATAAAAAATTCTTATTGGAGAATATTTCGTTTACTAAATTAAAATAAAATTAGATTCTTACATTTCTTTCGATCTTTAAATCAAAATTATTGTTCGTATTTTGTATTTTGAAAAGCTTGCAATAATCGAAAATAGCCGTTTTATACTTTTAACTGTAAATCTATGGGCTGAAATAATTTAAAAGTGAACGTAAAGACCGGGAGAATTTGTGGAGGTGGAACCGTAGGCGGAAGATGAGATAAATACTTCACGTTGATGAGTGTCCGAATGAAGCACTTGGAATCCACATACTAAGTCTAGTTACCCACGTGATTTGTGTGGGTGATTTGATTGGTTTACGCTTACAGTAGAAGAATCTAGTTAAACCAGCGTCCTTTTATTTGTCAAAAGTTTTCTTTCTTTCTTTCTTTTTCTTTCTTTCTTTCTTTCCCACTCAACATTCACTCACCATTTTTCTGAGACATTTTCTTTAATTCCTTTTGTCTTGTTCTACATCTTCAGACATGATATTAGATTTTTTTATTATTATTCTTCATGTATTTCTCCACCACCATTATTCTTACCCCAATTACTTTTCCTGTTTCAAATTTAACTGCACTATTTTTCCTCATCCTTTTCAAACACATCCCCAATCTGTGCACCTCTACTAAAACATAACTAAACAAGGGAAAGGTTATAAGACGAACAAACTGAACGATTTAGGGAAAGGCTTATTTTAAACTTTTGCTAAGTAATTTATCTTCATATCAACTAAGCTTACCTTAGTATCGCACAAGGCCAACTGGGAAGAAATGAAAGCAGGAAGATTATGTTGCGCCAATCTTGAAATTAGGGTGTAAGAACTGCCTGCCTTGAAAGCCAATGTTCGATTTTTTTTGTATTTAACCGAGCTTGAGTACTAACCACTGAAAATGAAGAAAAACACAACTCTTTCTCTCTCCGGGTAGTTTTCGATCAGGGTATCTATGTGGGCTTACGGCTACATCACGTTAACACACCGGTTTCTGTACAATCACCGAAGTTAAGCAATGTCGAGTCTGGTCAGTATCTAGATGGATGACCGATTGGAAATACCAGGTGTTGTATGATTGGATATGTGGGTGGGGTAATAGATAATTCCCTGAAATCGCTAACTTACTGTCAAATACACTTGTGAAAGGTATGAATCCACCTATTCTCCCCCAGGTATGGGTTAATTAGTAAGACTTTTATCACTAACTCATTATTATCACTCACCCATTATTATCCCCCCTAACCCCACAAAAGATTTCTTACAATCTAAAAATATTTTCTGGCTTTAAATAACCTGCAAAGGGTTGATAATCCGTAGAAAACCCTGTGTCTATGTTTAGAGTATAGAATTTGTGCGTACTGTGTAAAAGTGTTACAAACACAAATTACACACACACACACACACACATATATATATATATATATATATATATATATATATATATATATATATATATATATATATAAAAGAAAACAAATATCGTTAATAGAACCAACAGACAACATGCCAAAACCTAAAACTCTCATCCAGATAATATCTCAAACAAAAACGACAATGCTGAAAAAAGAAAAAAGGCCTAAAGGCAAACTTAACTACTTAGTAAAGTGCTCGAAGCCTAGATTGTCTAGACAGAGCAAAACGCTTAACAACGTTAAATTCTATGAAAGGATGGCCCTAATCGTAACTCGAGTTTCACGCTTTCGTGATCTTCAGACAACTTTCAAGAAGATGGCCCTAGTCATAACTCGGGTTACGATTAGGGCCATCGTTTCATAGTATTTAACGTTATTAAGCGCGTATATATATATATATATATATATATATATATATATATATATAGAGAGAGAGAGAGAGAGAGAGAGTATGAAGAAATTTGTGAAAAACAGTTGCATGTTAATTTTTTTTATTCTCTTGTTAACGTTTCGCTCTATAAGATCATCACCAGAACAACTGAAAATATATATGGGGAGAGAGGGAGAAAAAGAGAGAGAGAGAGAGAGTGTGTGCGAGAGATAGAGAACATATTTATGTATTCCTTATCCCTTTTTCATACTCTACCCACCACAAAGAAAACCCTTCCTGCCTTCCATCAGAATGAGTAATTCCCAACTCCTTGAGAGCGCCTCATTACACCTCCTTGGTCTCACGCTGTCCACTGACATGAGGTGGAATAAATACATTGAATCAATAGATTCATCTACCGCAAGGAAAGTTGGCTCTGTTTGTCGTGCCAGAAAGTTTTTCTCGTCTGAGTCCGTCCTTCAAATCTATAAATCAACCATCCGTCCTTGCATGAAATATTACTGTATATCTGGTGCTCCCGCTGTACGTCTCGAGATCCTTGACAAAATCCAGAGACGAATATGCAAGATGATAGGTCCTGATTTGGCATCTAGTCTATAATCGCGATCCCACAGAAGTGCTGTGGCCTTCCTCTGTCTCTTCTACAAATATTTTCACGGCAACTGTTCTGACAAGATATTTCGCTGGTTCCCGGACTACATGAATTTAAACGAGCTACCAGGCTGGCATCTCGGCCCCCACCCTTTCATTGTCAAAACGCTTAAATGTAACCGCCTCTTTTTTTTTCAAACAGCTTCTTCTCCCGCACTTCTCCGATGACTATAATTTTCAAATATTCAAGTGTAATGTCAATCGACATCTGACACCCTGAGTTTGTTCCCCGTCCTTCTCTGTATCCTTTCGTCAAACACACCTCTTTACTCTTGTTCTCAATTCTCTGTAACCCCTAGTGGCACTCCCGCCTGATGGGGATGAATTGCCTTAAAAAAAAGAAAAAAAAATTAAAATAATCTACGTTTGCAAAAAAATAAATAAATAAAAACATTGACAGCCACCGGAGACAGGGAAGGATAAAGGAAATAAATAGAAGGTAAATAAAGCGTTATACTAGAAGATCATGAATAATCTTAGTTGTCAGTACACAAGAAATTTCTATGCATCCAACTAAGAAAAATGAATGCATTAAAAAGTTGCCTTTTTGTTTGCCTCCATGTTCTTACCTACTGCACATCTCTTTATTAACGGCTATGGACAGAGAAGTTAATGTTCTGATAGCTTCAAAGGTTAGCTGTTATTTGAATAATTATTTTTGGAGAGTTGCTTGCCTCTTTGATATAATCATACTTGGCTAACGAAGTTTAGATTGTAAACACTCAGGTAGAACCGAACAATAATTTGTACTTTAACATTTTGACGGGAAAGTTGCGCTCAGAAAAGTTAAGAATCGGTCAGTCTTCAAATTTAAGAGTTATTTCTTTCGTCATGTAGAAACAAGTCCAGTAATGTGATTTTATTGATTTTGTTTCTTCATGTGTCCTACATACAGAATCAATCGATGCACACAGTACACCGCCCCACCCAACTCCATTGCTAAGTCCAATCCGATCCTTACCACCCACAATTCTTTTTCTCTTTGATCACAGAATTCCATCGTTTCACGTTGCCAACGCACTCAGTGTGTGGCTGCACGTATCACGTGATCGTAATTATTTTCATAAATGATGTTACAAACCCACAAAATTGCTTCGATTTTTAATGAAGATTAAAAAAAAAAAGAACCTCCATTATACTGACCCCATTCTATTAACTTCCGGTTGGCATTATGAAATTCGTCATGATAAAAGATTTTAAAACTCAAGCGTATGATACCGTTCAAATGTTAACTTATTTTAAAAAATTTTCTTCATGGCTATCCACATACTCATAGACTACGAATTAATAATATTGACGCCTCGTTTAAGATCGTCTGCCATATTGGATACTGTAAAAGATATGAAATACATTCAACCATCATTCGTTGCTTTACATTGCAGCTACTTAGACCATTGGTTGGGTGGTTGATTTTGTTTAGCGGCAGGTAGACTCCAAGTCATATCCTTATCACCTGTTGAAACCTACAGTAGCTGTTTTCTGGGATCCATCGTGAAACGAAGAAAGCTGGGAACTATTTCATTAATTTGAATTCTATGAAACTTTTTTGGCGGTTGTGGGGCTATGGGTAATAACCAACGATGTAGCCAACGTGGAGAAGCATTGTCTTACATGAATATACTCTTTAAAGCTTCTTGGTCGAATTGTTAGTTGGGTTAATGGCGGCTTGGCTTCAGTCACTTATCCACAGCCGTAAGATTGTTCTCTCTGAGCATTTTTTATAAATATTTTTCATGGTAAGTGTTCGGATGAGCTCTTCCCTATGGTAGATAAACTTTATGAATTTATGCGCAGTACTAGACTAGCGTCGAGATCTCATTAATTTGCAATTGACCTGGCTAGATGTAGCCGTAAGTTCTATGCCAATATTTTCTTTTCTCGCATTTCTCGCTTGGAAATCTCCCTTCCGGTTCCTTGCTTTCCAGCCAACTTAATCTACAAAAATTTAAATGCAATGTCAATCGCTGTCCTCCTGATTACTCTTTTTTCTTTCTGCTCATTATTAATGTTTCTGCTTCTAATTCTTCCACATCTTGTAACCTCTTATGCCTTAGTGGCTTTACTGCCTTGCTTGAGGTGATACCGATTAAAAAAACAAAAAAAAAAACAAAAACAAAAAAAAAAACAGGTGTCCATTTTTATTGTTATGTCAACACTGATTAAACTTTCCTCATTTTCAGTTATTCTGCTTGCATAGTCAATAATTTAACATCTTTTCTTTTTTGCTGTTATATATTTCTTTCGGACCATACCAATCTTTATGTAAAAATATCAGTAACTACAATATATATATATATATATATATATATATATATATATATATATATATAAGAGGAAAAGAAAAGAGAAAATTTTAAAACCAATAAAGAGTGATTGTAAAGTGAAAAACACGACGAAAAGGACAAATAACCACGACATTCTACACGTACGCACAGACGCGCAGACAAGCGCATGCGCAGACGAACGCACTCACGATACACTATGAAAAAAACTTGCACAATTTAAAAGTGCATATAACAAAGAAAAATCGAGAAGTATAAACCTCAATTGATGAACTCTCCTGACGAGTGGACGGAGTGATTCCCAGAGGTTTCGTCTACGAAACCCTGGAGTCTGGATGCAGAAGGTAACATCAATCAGCTAATTGAAAATTTTGATTCCCAGAGGTTTCGTCTACGAAACCCTGGAGTCTGGATGCAGAAGGTAACATCAATTAGCTATGAAATTTTTTTTACTTGTATTAATGCTCTCTCTCTCTCTCCCTCTCTCACAAACTATTACTCTCTCTCTCTCTCTCTCTATATATATATATATATATATATATATATATATATTTCTTCAAACTTAATGAAGGAAATGTGGATTTTGCGCCCTACTTGCAGGAAGTTCAACCGTCTGATCCGACATGCTTTTATTGCTCAGCCACGAAGAGCATCACAATAAGACAAGGTTCCTTTAAAAACGTGGACATTGAGGTCAACACCCAGTGGGGACAATCTGTTTCATGCTTAAAAGCAATCTTCAGGCCTGATGATTGCATTTAAGCATGAAACAGACTTTCGCCGCTGGGTCTTGGCCTCAGCATCCACTTTTATATTTACTTACGTTCCGTCCTTGATCCTTTTAACCATAAATATAGCATACCTTAAAACTATATTTTTATAATATATATATATATATATATATATATATATATATATATATATATATATATATATATATATATATATATATATATACTATAAGACGAACAATTATTGATATAAGTTAAGAAAATGGCAAGCCATTAAATAAGTAATTGTAAACTGGAGAGTAATGGATAGCATCTCGGATTGAGGAATCGGAGAGCCAAGTTCGAATTCCAGTCGAATCCATTATATTCACTTACGTGCTAATACCCTTGGGGAAAGTATGAATCCTCTCCTTCTCTCCCCAGCTATGGGTAAATAGCAGGACAGACCGGGTTCTATACTTGGGTGGCAACTGGTCTACCGCAGAAAGAAATGGCAACATATTGCTGGAAAAAAACTGCCTTGAAAGATACATGATTGCCTAAGCGTGTATCATGTATGGCACATAACTGACTGAAATATTCCTGGAATCAAGTATTTCAGGTATT